GAAACTGTTGGTATCTGTAAATGCTACTAGCTATACAAACTGTAGTCAATGTAAATATGCCATATGATGTCCTCTTTGTTTTTCTGTCATGTTTGTATTCATGTTGGAACCTACTTGCAGCAGGTCACCATTGAAAAAGAGGTCAATGATCTCAATGGGTTTTCACCTGAATAAATAAAGGTTTTGAATTGAATTGATATAGCCCAATATCAGAAATGCTACATTAGTCTCAGTGGACTATACAGGTTGTACTGAATATCAATTCGACACCCTTTGTCTTTGGACAGGGAACACTCCCAAAGAAAACCCCAACAAGTTATGGGGGAAATTTTAGAAACCTTGGGGAGAGCAACAGAGGAGGGGTAGATGTTGTGTGTAAATTAAAAAGATAATACATTTACAACATAGGTAATCCACATGTTTGCCTTGCCTATACAACCCATCAGGACAAAGCTTCGAAATCTGGGGGCGACTCCAGCCTCGAATGAGACATTTTGTAAATAAATCATTAATTGAAGTTATTAATCGAGCAGAAATGAAGTAAAGTGTTGATTTATTCTGTTCTATATGATTATATACTACACATTTCTGCGTTTTGGACTGATGCACAGACACAATGCGACATGTAAAGACGTCACTTTAGGCTGTGGGACGGGGATTTGTTATCCCAATTATTTTTGACAATAAAACGTAACAATAGAGCAATTAACCCAGGGTGGTAAACTGCTGTGCTAACGCTGCTTCTGACAATAAACCCGCTGAACTCTGAACACAGCTCTCGTCTTTTAAACAACAGCAGTGGCACAAACTCAAGAAGGAGAAACTTCTCATTAAAACAGGAACTACTTCACTGCAGAGAACATGAGAGGAAGAGGAGGAGGAAGAGGAGGAGGAAGAGGTCTAAAGGAGTCACTGAGCCAGATTAGATTAGCAAAGACAAACGAAGAAAGTGTGTGTGTGTGTGTGTGTGTGTGTGTGTGTGTGTGTGTGTGTGTGTGTGTGTGTGTGTGTGTGTGTGTATGTGTGTGTGTGTGTCTCTTTGTTTGTGTGTGTGTGTGTGTGTGTGTGTGTGTGTGTGTGTGTGTGTGTGTGTGTGTGTGTGTGTGTGTGTGTGTGTGTGTGTGTGTGTGTGCGCGCGCGTGTGTGTGTTTGTGTGTGTTAGGGGTTTCACCAACTAATCGACTAGTCGACTAGTCGACTACCTTTACCACTAGTCGGCGCTGTAGGCCCTAGTCGACTAGTCGTGAAAAAATTGAGGTAA